TCAACAATGTGCTGAAGGATGCTCGTGCATTGCGGGTGACTGCAATAGTGGAGTACACATTCTTCAAGCTTAATGAGTACTTTCAGAGGCATTCTGAAGAGACTGCAAAATGGATAGGTGAAAAAAGGATTATCCGGAAAAGGTTGATGAATGGTTGCAGTTACAAGCAAGCAAGTCTTCATGGCAACAAGTTATCATATTCGACAGAACTGAAATGATCTATCAAATTGATGAGCCAGGTGGCACAACACGAGACGGTAGACAATATGGTGGTGCTGCATTTGAGGTGCGTCTGAAGACTCGGTGGCGCCAGTGCGAGAGGCCTAGTAAGTATTATTGGCCATGCTCGCATTTGATAACGGCGGCGAAGGCGAGAAACATACATGTTTGTGATGGAAAAACCGCGCGGATGCAAGAGTTCCATGTGGAAGCTACTAGGTTGACATGGGCACCAAGATTTCACCCTTTCTTGGACCAATCACAGTGGCCTGAGTACCATGGCCCTCATATTAGGCCAGACCCTCTTCTGAAGGTGGAGACCAAGGGTAGAAGGAGAACTAAGAGGTTCAGGGGTGCTATGGATGACCTGGCCGGATACACTGACATGAAACAATTTGGTAGCAGTCATTTCATGGAGGCTCCTGACACTATCAACTGTGGGGTGTGTGGTGAAGGGGGACACAATGAGCGGACATGCAAGAATAGGAAAACCAAAAAAAGAAAAACAAGTCGTGGAGGTGGCACCGATGGTGAACGAGGTGGAACAGGTGACGGTGGTGGTGGTCGAGGAAGCACAAGTGCTAGAGGTGGTGGTCGAGCAGGCACAAGTGCTAGAGGTGGTGGTCGAGCAAGCACAAGTGCTAGAGGTGGTGGTCGAGCAAGCACAAGTGCTAGAGGTGGTGGTGGTCGAAGGGGAAGCACAAGTGCTAGAGGTGGTGGTGGTCGGAGAGGAAGCACAAATGCTAGAGGTGGTGGTGGTCGGAGAGGAAGCACAAGTGCTAGAGGTGGTGGTGGTCGGAGAGGAATGGTTGATAATGGATCGGCCTTCGGTTATTTGCTTAATCCAGATGGTTGATCTAATAATAATGGTATATTATTTGTTCTTAAAATTCCTAGCATTTATTGATTTACTGTATTTACACATGTATCTCTTTGTGTCTTGTGCTCTTTTTGTAGGCATGGCTTCATCCGGTTCCAGGACGAGGCCGGCGTGCGCGGACCAAGAGGACATGCCAAAGACGTGGATGGAGGCCACGTTGGACAAGGAGAAGGAGAAGGATGTGCCCACACCACCATGTTGGTGTGGTGATGTTTGCAAGATGAAGGTGTCCACGGACCGCAAGAAGTCATGGACAGAAGGTAGAAGGTTTTTCGTGTGTCCCAACTATGCACATGATCGTCGAAGGCCAACTAACGCATATGACATACCACCGGTATGTTGGGTGTACATACAAAAAACCTCATCAAGTTTGAACTCATATTACTAACAAAAACATGACTTTTATGTAGTCGCCTCCTCCACTTTGCAAGTACTTCACTTGGATAGATCACGAGGTACCAAAAGATGTCCAAGAGGACCAACATCGAGATTACTTACGGAGGCAGCGCCTGTTCGAGGAGTCCTTTGCACGGGGATTGGAGCATGAGTGTCGTGAGAAGGAGAAGAACGAGCACAAGAAGCGTGATCAAGAGAGGGCACGCAAAGAGAAGGAGGCTCGTCAAGAAGAGAGGGCAAGAAAGCTTGCAAGGGCTCGCGATGCACGAGAGGAGGACGAGGCACGTGAGAAGAAGGGAAAGTGGCCCCGTACTACTCAGTAGACAAATGGAAAGGCACCGGCGTCGATTATGGAATATCGAGACTTTGTTTAATGTATGAACTTGTCATTCGAGACCGTGTGTGGTCATGAGCTACTTATGTCATTTGAGACATCATGTGTGAACTTGTTATTCGAGACCTATTTAAAATTATGTGCAAACTATGCTTTGTTCATATTTTTGTTTGATTTCCAATGTTTAAAAGTGTGTGCAACCTATTTGAAATTATGTGCAAACTATCCAGAGAGCATTTTGCCCATCCGAAAAGCGACAAGAACATGACCAGAGAGCATTTTGCCTATCCAGAGAGCCAGACGCCAAGAACTCTGGCGTCTGGCTCCATATCCAGACCAGACAAGACCAGACGCCAAGGTCCCTGGCGTCTGGCTCGTTTTGGTCACACAGGAGACTATACAGCTATCTGATCATCCAAAAAGCCAGACGCCAAGGACCAGACGCCAAGGTTCCTGGTGTCTGGGTCCAGACCAGACGCCAGGGTGCCTAGCGTCTGGCTCGTTTTGGTCGCGCAGGAGACCAGACACCTATCTGATCATCCAGAGAGCCAGACGCCAGGAACCCTGGCGTCTGGGTCCATATCCAGACCAGACGCCAAGGTCCCTGGCATCTGGCTTGTTTTGGTCGCGCAGGAGACCAGCCACTTGTCTGATCTGTCGCCCGATCCAGAGAGCCACACGCCAGGCACCCCGGCGTCTGTGTCCATATCCAGACCAGACGCCAAGGTCCCTGGCGTCTGGCTCATTTTGGTCGCGCAGGAGACCAGACACTTGTCTGATCTGTCTGATGCCCGATCCAGAGAGCAAGTTTCGAGTGGATAAGATTCTTTGGGCCCACCTCTAGCCCTCTCATCCATTCATCTCCACCTCTACCCCTCTCATTCCTTTCATCTCCACTCACTCTCACCTCTATCCCTCTCATCCAGTCACTCTCATCCAGTACCCTAACCCCCCCTCAAATCTCTTATGAATCGGTCTGGTTTCACCGTTGGATCTTCAGTATTTCGAAACTAGAAGGTAAATCAACTCCACCCCCATCTTTTGGTTGGTTTAATGCATCATAGTTTTGTGTAAACCCTAGTTTGTTTTCCTCGTGGTTTAATGTATCATAGGTTTGTGTGTTGTAGATGGCTAAGGGTACTCAGTGGGTGCTTAACCCCGTTGTTCATGTCCTAGGCTTGTCTCCATGTGTTGTGCAAGTTAGTGAAGTGGACCTCACTTTCGATTGGTTGAAGACTAAATTCATGTTGAAGCAAGGGTTGAAGGAAGAGGATTTTGTGTACTATGTCAGCAGTAAGCAGTCAGATGGCCCCGGCCAAAGAAAATTGGTTGACATAACTGATGATGACAAGATTCAAGAAATGCTGCAAGAATGGGGATGGAAAAGGGTTGTTGACCTGCATTGCTATAGGAAACCAAGTTATATGTGATGTTCATGTCGTTTAAATTATCGTGGACCATCGTGGTTATGAACTACTTATGTCATTCGAGACTTTGTATGTGATGAACTTCTCATTCGAGACTATTTGTGTAATTTGAGATTATGTGATAACTATGTTTGTCATTTGCTATTATGTGAACACTAATGTTTGTCATTTGCTATTATGTGAACACTGATGTTTGTCATTTGCTATTATGTCATACTATAGGTGTTTGATAGAACAAAATATCTATGTGAACACTAATGATTGTCATTCGATACTACAGGTGTTTGATAGAAAAAAACTACTACACCAGGGCCAGACGCCATGGACCCTGGCGTCTGGCTGCCCTGTTTCTGCTGTCCCATGCCTCCAGTCGACCACCAGACGCTAGGGACCTTGGCGTCTGGTCCCCTGACTACAAACCAGGCACCAGGGATCGTGGCGTCTGGTCCCCTGACTTCATACCAGACGCTAGGGACCCTGGCGTCTGGGACCCTGTACATTATTTTGTACTTATTTCACACAAGAAGATAGCACATATATAATAATATGACAGGTTCATAAAACACAGAAGATAGCACATTTCACAGAACTTTCACCATGACAAATTCTTGCATACAAACGACAACAAGTTCATAGATTTTTCATCACGACAAATTCATGCATACATAAGACACCAAGTGCATACATAAGACACCAAATTCAAGACAACCTTAAAAGTTTTTACCACAACACCAAGTTCATGCGTACAAACGCCACCTAGTTCATACACTTCCAAACAAGAAGCTCACTTCCTCCTTCCTCTCTTCATGAGTGCTGCAAGTGTAGGCTCCTCCTCTTCGCTAGCCTCCTCCTCCTCTTCGTTGTATGCCTCCTCCTCCGCCTCAATGTTGGCCTTATATCTTTGCATTCCTATTGGGATAAGCTAATGAGGATACTCCAGACTATGGAATTGTGTGTTCCATGTCTTCTTTCTACCTTTCTTGCCTGGTGTCTTAGCTATGGCTTTGCCTTTCCTAGAGCGAGCATTGCCTTGTGTCGGTTGTGTAACCTGTGATGGTTGTGGAGCATCAACATCATACTCATGATCCTCTTGATGTGTTGCATCATACTCATGCTCCTCATCTTGTGTTGGCTCCTCTTGATGTGATGGCTCCTCTTCATGGACCTCCTCCTCCATGTCCTCATCGTTCTGGATATAACGCCGTCTATTAGCTCTGGCGCGGGTACCAGGTGCATACACGTCACTGGACTGAGCACCATGACAAGAAAGCATTGCTGCCATCTTATGGAACCGCTTCTTGAACTTCTGCAACAACACAAAATATGCTATGATATGAGATACAAATAAATAATCTGCGAAAAGAAGCTTTTATAATATATTGGTCACACCTCCATCATGCTCCTAAGAGTCCTCTCAGATAATACACCACCAGGTGGATGACTCAGTGCAACATTGGCATCGTTGACGCACAGAAGCAACGATCTGCCCTGCAATTCATGAACACACCAAACTTATGTATTTGAAAGAATACAACATGATGCATGCAAGTTTGTTAGAATAGGTCAAACAGACTACCATTTCGTCATGCATCGGTGCATAGTCAACGTGAGCCCCTCTGGTGTCTCTCACAACCGTGTTGAAGGTATGATAACCTTCTGCAGTCTCCGAGTCTTCAGACACCAACTCCGACCACTCCTCGTGAGTCCAACCAGGCTTTAGCTTTAACCGGTAACGATCCGCATATCACACTTGATACTTCTGATATGTTGACTGATTGTGAGGTCTATTCTCTGATTGCACTAACGTGTCTCTTTGATTCCAAATTTCTATCCACGCACGGTGTTTGTTTGCCCAATCTGATATATCCTGATTGTTCCTTCGATCGAACCTACAAATGATGCACGGGACAAAGCATTAGCAATCATAGACTTATTCAATGCTCTACTACATACTCAAGGCATGCTTGCTCACCGATGCAGAGATAGCATTTCCTCGTTGCTCTCCTCAATTGGAATACCTTGTGTTCTTCCAAATTGTCTCGCCACACGGTCTACAAAGTGCCACTCAACTGCGAAGAAGCATATCATTGGGCACCTCGCCCGCCAAAGATGGCTATCACGCGTGCACATCTCATTAAGATCATAGTCATGATCTTCCATATAAGGCAACCAATGTACCTGCAAAACAAAGAGATACATTGTTAGATACAAGTTTCATTCTTGACTAAATTTGGTCTCATCGAACTTCTCTATACCTGCTCAGCAGTCAAGGTGTCCAGCTCGTTCATATAGCACTTGTATCGCACATGCGAGCTTCCTGTGTACACTGTCACTTGTTCCCAATAGTAAGCAAGCGTAGGGCGCGGATATGGATCATCATCATGCAGCCCGTCTGGATTACCCCGTGGGTTTGCCATATTGGGGTCCTTGATATCGGGCCGTCCAACCGGTATCCGCTCCCACATCCACACGGATAGGCTCCAAACAAACCCAGCCAATGAGGATGTATCTCCCTTCCTGCGACACGCCAAGTCAAGCTGCAATCAAACAAACATGTTAGATATGGAGGCGCATGACAAATGCAAGTTAAATGGTTGCAAATATCTCTTACCTGATGATACAAATATGCTAGTGCGGCCGAACCCCAGCTATACTGGGTATCCCAGTTATTGAGTAGCTCCAGGAACATCCAGAGGGCCAAGTTCCCGGTTGCATCTGAGAAGACTACCTTGGTTAGCACATACCAAAGATAGGCACGCGCGTACTGCTGCACAACCACGTCATTGGCACCCTGAGGACACTGATTGATGTTTCCTCTAACCGCTTTTAGCCAAGAATGCCTCACTCTCGCGGTATCGACCTTGCCTTCCTCAGGGGCGTCGGGCTGAACACCAATTAAAATGCCAGTCCGTTCTCGCCAATTAACGGCACTGACACAACCGGTAACAGCTTGTCCGTTGATAGGAAGGCCGCTTATCATAGCCATGTCCTCAAGGGTCATCGTCATCTCCCCAAATGGAAGGTGGAACGAGTGAGTCTCCGGCCTCCAACGATCCACAAGTGCGGTCAGCGCCGCGTGGTTCACCGGCGGAGCGCGTCGCTTAAACTGCAACACGAATGGGAGAAGACCCAATCTCCGAATATAAGGCTCGTACCGCGGGTCGTAAGTAAAGTCATCAGCCGAATGTCCCCTCATGCGCATAGCAACTACAAGCTGCAAATAAAGTGATGTTTTAATCAATACAAGAACACAAATGAGAAACAACGAAAATTGATAAGTCTTGCTTCTTACATGTCCGTTCTCAATGGCACGAGCACGATGCTCCTTATCCCACTCATCGATTAATCCGTCATACCAAGGTCCATCACCATCCGCCATCCTACAAAACAAATCACAAACATCTATGAATACATGAACAATATCAAACAATACAATTTTCTTCTCCAAGTTATGCCATATGAACACACCATTCTTCTCAAACATAACCACATCATTTTTTTCTTCTTCATATGCACACATAATTCTTCTCAAACATACCAACATCATCTCAAGCAAATAAATTTGTCAAATAATATGGTGTCACATATGCAAATAAATATCATCTAGAGTACCAAATTTCACCATGTGTTTTGCAAATAAAGTATGCAACAATAGGATTATCTACACATAGAGACATCATATTTAAATTCAACTGTATTGTTATACCACATACACACATCATCTATCAAACCAAATTATCAAACAAGTCTATTTTACATACAAAAATCATGTATTCATCACCCCTCTTAGTTCAAAAAAATTTGTCCTATGGACAACATATGCACAAAATGGAATTGATTTCTCCTACATGTTCAACTACACATCATTTACTGCCTACCAAATCATCTATCAACTACAAACAATTTCCTAAAACAAAGAAATCATCTACTCATCTAACATCACCTAGTGTTGAATAATGCATCAAAAAGAAGAGGACTCAACCCAAATAAATTGGAGGGAATGTGGGAGAATACCTCAAGGATGCTTGGGGGCCTCAGATCCACAAATTTAGATGAAGGATGGAGTAGATCAAGGGGGGATTTGGTGTGAGGGAGAAGAGGGGCGAAGGAGAGAAGCCCTCTGTTCGTCTGTTCGTGCGCCGCCAGGAGAGGAAAAGAGATGGGTGGTTGGGCTCGGCCCGCGGGGGTTATCCACTTACCAGGGCCAGAAGCCAGGGTCCCTGGCGTCTGGCCCCTTTGCCACGTCAGCAGGTCAACGGGCAGCGGGCAGTGCGGGCCAGGGGTCAGATGCCAGGGTTCCTGGCGTCTGGTTCGCAACCCAGACGCCAGAGATGTTGGCGTCACCTAAAGAGGTCAAAATCGATTTTTTTTTTAATATGAGGTTAAATAAGAATTTTGTTAGCCTTTTAGGTCAGAACATAATTTTGTCCGCTAACACACGACTCGCACCTAGTCTACTTTTGGGACGTTTGAGTGCAGCGCACCCGAACTGCCCACAGAGCTAACAAACTATCCAACCAACCCACCACTGACACGTATGCCCCAACGCGATCCGACCCCACAGTTCGGTCACCTCGTTCGAACTACCGGAGCTGCCTCGCACCACTCGGCCCCAGCTGCTCTGACTTCTCCCCCACCCCACTGACACTCTTTCACGTCGGCGACTCACCCCCCACCCTTCGAGTCACGCGGCACCTACTAATGGCCGCGGGATCTTGCCGCCCGCACCGCCGGAGATGAAGCCCCGCCACCTCCCGCCGGTCCTTGTACTCGCCTTGCTTTCCCTCCTCTCCCTCTCCCTCCGCCGCCACCTCACCCCCCTACAGCTGCCGCTTCGTCCCGCCGCCGGGGACCCGCTCCTTCGTCGCCTCGCCGCGGTGGAAGGCGTGGGATCCGAGCAAGTCCTCGCCGACGCGGCTGCACTGCTCGTGAATGGCTCGATATCCACGTTCCCCAGCCTTGGCAACCGCCAGCGCCTCCTCTACCTCCGCCTCCCGTACGTCCGCTCCGCCCGCGGCCCGCCGAGGCCGAGGACCGTGTCCCGCCTCCGCATCCCCGCCGAGGCACTCCCCTCCGACGAATCCCTGCTCGCGTCCTTCCGCACGTCTCTCCACTCCTTCCTCCTCGCCCACCACCGCCGCCGCCGGGGCGGAACCGGTAATGTGGCCAGCGTCATGAGCGAGCTCGCCGGCGTCCTCGGGCGGCGCTTCCCGACCTGCGCGGTCGTAGGGAATAGCGGCGGGCTCCTCGGCTCCGGCCGCGGACCGCAGATCGACGCGCACGAGCTCGTCATCCGCCTCAACAACGCACGCGTGGCCGGCTTCGTCGCCGACGTCGGCGCCAAAACCTCGCTCTCCTTCGTCAACTCCAACATCCTCCACCTCTGCGCGTCCCGCAGTGCCGCCACCGCCGCAGGCTGCGGGTGCCACCCGTATGGCCCCACCGTGCCCATGGCCATATACATCTGCCAGCCCGCGCACCTCCTGGACGCCCTCATCTGCAACGCAACCGCCACCCACGCCTCCCCATTCCCGCTCCTCGTCACCGACGCGCGCCTGGACGCGCTCTCGGCGCGCATTGCCAAGTACTACTCGATCCGGCGATTCGTGTCGGACACGGGTGCTCCGGCGAGCAACTGGACCCGGAAGCACGACGAGAGGTACTTCCACTATTCGTCAGGTATGCAGGCGGTGGTGATGGCGCTGGGGGTATGCGAGGAACTGAGCCTATTCGGGTTCGGCAAGCCGGCAGGGGCCAAGCACCATTATCACACGAACCAGAAGAAGGAGCTGGACCTGCACGACTACCAGGCGGAGTACGATTTCTACGGCCACCTCCAGGCGCGGCCGGAGATGGTGCCGTTCCTTGACGAGGCCCAAGGCTTCACGGTGCCGCCGGTCAGGTTGTACTGGTGAGGCTGCCTTAACTGTGTGTATTACTGTGTTGTTGTAAAATTGATACTACTACACTTGATTGACAAAATGTCAATTTAGCCGACAGAGAATTGTAAATTAGGGGCAATGGAAATGAAAGTCTCACTGAAATTTGTAAGCAGAAATGTAGGCCAGTTTGACGACCAGATGGTTATGATGGAATCCGCATGGTTATGATGGAATCCGCAAGTTCTTGTTTGTACTATTATGTTTTGGACTGTTGCTGCACCTGTCAGTTGTCAAAATGGTTAGCACTAGCTGACAATAACCGAAGTTGTTTACACTCTGCTTTAAACAGGAAAGTAACGTAGACTATTCAGTTTGGTAGCCTACCATGTTTTGTTTGGAACAAAATACAGTGCTGATTTCATTAAGTGAGGAGAGTGAGTAGCCTACTTTGTTTCGTTTCTGTTGCAGCTATATTTTTTCAGCTATAAACACAAAATGTTGATTTCTCATTACAAGATTGGCCAGCAAAATATCTGGTAAGTCCAATGTGGTGCAAATTCTTGTAGTAGATTGCTTCAGTCATTATGTATTTTTTTTGTCTGACAGATTGCCTTACTCTTTTCTTTTTATGAACACAATTAGCATCAGTTAGAATTAGAGTTTTCTGTATAACTTCCATTTTGGCAGGAACAAAAATTGAAGTACTGTATTACTGCTGCGCTCTTATTCGGCATCCATGACTCGCTTCATTTGGATCCCAGGGCAGATGTTATCTCTGTTGTATGAGCTATGCTGCTTTGAGGTTGTTGTTTATCAAAGTACTAGCTGTTTGTGCTCTTTACATTCGTCACTTTTCTGGAGTAGTCTTTCTCATCGGTTAATTAGATAAATGACATGACATTACAATTATGCCGCCTCCAACTTAGAGAAATGCTACTACAACTTTTCTCTTTGAAAAAATGCCACTCGAATTTGCATCACACCTATAGATGCAGATATTGCTTTTGGCTCTAGGGAATATATGCTCCTCCGCGTCACAAATGTATTTTGCCAAGGTCAATTTGTTTATTTATAAAAATAGATGTGTTCATTGTCACACCCAAATGCTACCTGCAAAATTTTAGGGGGAAAGCTTAAGCATGTGGATGTGTGCAACATAAAAAAAAACAAGTCGAACGACAAATGTTACCTTCAAATGGTACACTTAATTTTGTTTTTTCATCGACGAAGTACTGCTATCCCGTTTTCCATGAAATTTGGCAAGCACACTGGTACACTAACATGAACATTTACAAAAAAAACTGATTTTTAAAAATTTATTTCCTATTAGTTTTTAATAACCATTCACCAATGAGCAACCGCTCCCTAGAGCCAAAACTCCGCGTCCCCTATAGATGCCATTATGTAAAATTTTAGACCATAGTACTCGTATCATCTTCCTTGATATTTTTCCTCCATCCTATGAATCCTAATCTCCTCCATGTGAGAATGTTTCCAAATCCTACCCACGGGTGTGTCGTTTTGTTATGGAAATTCACTTTGGCACATGGGAGCATATGCTCCTGCCATCGAAAAATATATTTTAAAATGTAAAAGAAATTCCGAACACAAATTTGACGCGCACATCTCAACATGGTATGTGTGCACGTCAAGTTTCATGAAAACCCGACATTATATATGCCTTGTGTAAAAAGACAAAAAAATGTCTCATGAAAAGCCTTTCTTATGACTTGAAGAAAAGAGGACCCCTTGGCTAAGGTTTCTTGTGCCTCCTGCCGGTGCCGCCGCCGGTCTACCTCGTCTTCTATGGTCTTACGGCCATGGAGACATGGTGGATCCTGGCCTTTGCCGGCGGGAGGGCTTCGTTTTTGCATACTCTTTTGAGTTTTGTTAGGGTTTGTGTCCAGCTCAGAGAGGCGAGGCAGTGGCGACTCTCTGCTGATGGAATAAGGTTCTTCCCGCCTTGTCCCTATTCTGATGGTGTTGTTAGCATCATTGGAGGGCGTGTGGAGGTTTGTCTCCGGCGGATCTCACGGGATTCGGTCGGCGTTTGTCTTCGGTGGATCCATGTGAATCTTGTCTTCGTTCATCTGTGTTCGTGTGTCTACAGATTGGATCCTTCTGATCTATGCTTCTCTTCATCGGCGGCGGATGCTGCTCTGGTGCACTGGTCCTATGAGGCCTTAGCACGATGACTTACCGACTGTCTACTACAACAAAGTTTGCCCGGCTTCAATGAGGGAGGGGCGAAGACGCCGGCGCGCCTTCGGCTCGCTCCAGTGCAAGTAGTCGTCACTAGGTGGTCTACGGACCTAGATGCATTTTTTACTTTGGGTGTTCTTTGTACTACCTTGACAGTTGATGAATAGATCGAAAGTTATTCCCGCAAAAAAGAAAAGTCTTTCTTAACACTAAATTTTGTCATTTTTGCATATGACACAAAAGTTGTCGGTTTTCCACGAAAGTTTGTATTCAAATAGCATATCAAGATGTACGCGAGAATTGATGACCCACAAGTATAGGCGATCTATCATAGTCCTTTTGATAAGTAAGAGCGTCGAACCCAATGAGGAGCAGAAGGAAATGACAAACGGTTTTCAGCAAGATATTCTCTGCAAGCACTGAAATTATTGGTGACAGATAGTTGTATTATGAGATAATTCGTAACAAGTAACAAAAGTAAATAAGGTGGCTCAATCCTTTTTGTAGCAAAGGACAAGCCTGAAAGAACTCTTATATAAAGCAAAGCGCTCCTAAGGACACATGAGAATTGTTGTCAAGCTAGTTTTCATCATGCTCATATAATTCGCGTTCATTACTTTGATAATTTGATATGTAGGTGGACCGGTGCTTGGGTGATGCCCTTCCTTGGACAAGCCTCCCACTTATGATTAACCCATCTCGCAAGCATCCGCAACTACGGAAGAAGAATTAAGATAAATCTAACCATAGCATAAAACATATGGATCCAAATTAGCCCCTTACGAAGCAACACATATACTAGGGTTTAATATTCTGTCACTCTAGCAACCCATCATCTACTTACTAATTCCCGATGCCTTCCCCTAGTCCCAAATCATGGTGAAGTGCCATGTAGTCGATGTTCACGTAACACCACTAGAGGAAAGACAACATACATCTAATCAAAATATCGAACGAATACCAAATTCACATGATTACTTATAACAAGACCAATCCCATGTCCTCAGAAACAAATGTAACTACTCACAAAGCATATTCAAGTTCATAATCAGAAGAGTATTTGAAGGGAATATGCCCTACAGGCAATAATAAAGTTGTTATTTATATTTCCTTATATCATGATAAATGTTTATTATTCATGCTAGAATTTTATTAACCGCAAACTTAGTACATGTGTGAATACATAGACAAATAGAGTGTCCCTAGTATGCCTCTACTAGACTAGCTCGTTAATCAAATATGGTTAGGTTTCCTAGCCATAGACATGTGTTGTCATTTGATGAACGAGATCACATCATTAGAGAATGATGTGATGGACAAGACCCATCCGTTAGCTTAGCACTATGATCGTTTAGTTTATTGCTATTGCTTTCTTCATGACTTATACATGTTCCTATGACTATGAGATTATGCAACTCCCGAATACCGAAGGAACACTTAGTGTGCTATCAAACGTCGCAACATAACTGGGTGATTATAAAGATGCTCTACAGGTGTCTCCGATGGTGTTTATTGAGTTGGCATAGATCGAGATTAGGATTTGTCATTCCGTGTTTCAGAGAGGTATCTCTGGGCCCTCTCGATAATGCACATCACTATAAGCCTTGCAAGCAATGTGACTAATGAGTTAGTTACGGGATGATGCATTACAGAATGAGTAAAAAGACTTGTCGGTAACGAGATTGAACTAGGTATGATGATACCGACAATCAAATCTCGGGCAAGTAATGTTGGGGAACGTAGTAATTTCAAAAAAAAATTCCTACACACACGCAAGATCCATCTAGGTGATGCATAGCAATGATAGGGGAGAGTATTGTCCACGTACCCTCATAGACCGTAAGCGGAAGCGTTATGACAACGCGGTTGATGTAGTCGTACATCTTCACGATCCGACCGATCCTAACACCGAAGATACGGCACCTCCGCGATCTGCACACGTTCAGCTCGGTGACGTCCCACAAATTCTAGATCCAGCTGAGGTCGAGGGAGAGTTTCGTCAGCATGACGGTGTGATGACAGTGATGATGAAGTTACCGTCGCAGGGCTTCGCCTAAGCTCTACAAGGATATGACCGAGGTGGAAATCTGTGGAGGGGGCACCACACATGGCTAAAATAATCAACTTGTGTGTTTATGGGTTGCCCCCTCCCTCGTATATAAAGGAGGGGAGGAGGAGGCCGGCCCTAGAGGGCGCACCAAGGGGGAGGAATCCTCCTCCTACTAGGAAGAGGATTCCTCCTTTCCTAGTCCTACTAGGAGGGGGAAGGAATGATAGGGGGAGGGAGAGGGAAAGAGGGGCCGCTCCCCCCTCCACTAGTCCAATTCAGACTCCCTTGAGGGGGGGAGGCGCCACCTCCTGGCTGCTGCCCTCTCTCTCCCCTAAAGCCCACTGAGGGCCCAATAACTTCCGGGGGGGTTCCGGTAACCCTCCGGCACTCCGGTTTTATCCGAAACCTCCTGGAACACTTCCAGTGTCCGAACATAGCCATCCAATATATCAATATTTATGTCTCGACCATTTCGAGACTCCTCGTCATGTCTGTGATTGCATCCTGGACTCTGAACTACCTTCGGTACATCAAAATACATAAGCTCATAATACCGATCGTCACCGAACGTTTAAGCGTGCGGACCCTACGGGTTAAAGAACTATGTAGACATGACCGAGACTCTTCTCCGGTCAATAACCAATAGCGTAACCTGGATGCTCATATTGGTTCCTACATATTCTACGAAGATCTTTATCGGTCAAACCGCATAACAACATACGTTGTTCCCTTTGTCATCAGTATGTTACTTGCCCGAGATTCGATTGTCGGTATCTCAATACCTAGTTCGATCTCATTACCGGCAAGTCTATTTACTCGTTCCGTAATGCAACATTCCGCAACTAACTCATTAGTCACATTGCTTGCAAGGTTATAGTGATGTGCATTACCGAGAGGGCCCAGAGATACCTCTCCGATACACGGAGTGACAAATCCCAATCTCGATCTATGCCAACTCAACAAACACCATCGGAGACACCTGTAGAGCATCTTTATAGTCACCCAGTTATGTTGTGACGTTTGATAGCACACTAAGTGTTCCTCCGGTATTCGGGAGTTGCATAATCTCATAGTCATAGGAACATGTATAAGTTATGAATAAAGCAATAGCAACAAACTAAACGATCATCATGCTAAGATAATGGATGGGTCAAGTCAATCACATCATTCTCTAATGATGTGATCCCGTTCATCAAATAACAACTCTTTGTCCATGGTTAGAAAACTTAACCATCTTTGCTTAACGAGCTAGTCAAGTAGAGGCATACTAGTGACACTCTGTTTGTCT